GGCATCCCTTGCAAATTGACACCTTCAAGTCATGTTGTACAAATCATGTCATTCTTATACGTGCATATATGAGTATTTATATGTACGTAGCAGACAATCTGTGTACATAACCAGGACCTCAGAAATAATTACAAGTCCACAATATCAAGTGATATACATAAATATGAACCTATATTTTACTTTTTACAGAGCAATCGCAGTCAGCCAGCTATTGGACTCAAGTATTTGCCAAAATTTAGGGTAAGAAAATCTGTCAGTTTCTAATCACGTATTGATTGCTTTGCGGTTTTCATGTTTGCTTTTTTCGTGTCACACTATGTGCTTTAATTGTCCTTCAATCAAACTGTTAACGCCTTGGCTTGATAAAAATAGCAGCTCGTTAATTTAGAAAAGTGGACCAATAAATGAGGAACGCTAATCACAAAACAACGCCGATGACTGTTTTAAACAATCAATGAACTGATTATTTTGGTTGATTTCTTATTTATTTGCCAAAGTAGTAAGATCAGAAAACGTGTTTGATTTAACCATGACATGATTTAAACCGCATCGCATAGAAAAAAACAAATGGTATTGGTCACGATTTGCCATCACGATTAGAAGAAGTTGAATCATGTTTTGTCCGTATTTGACGAGGGATTGAGGAAGTGTTAAATATTGACAGTCCACTACAACTACTGCAAGAATAAGAAGCAATAAATGTGGACAGGTGAGGCGTTACTCAACAACGACTCTTCCCCAAGGGTGGTTTTCTTTGGATTGGTCCACCTGCTGTTCAATTGATTTGTTTGTATACATTACTGGTTATAATAACTACATAAATTCGAATCTTAGGATTTAACGAATTCCCATGAAAATAAAAGATATGTTCCGGCTTCATAACCACGGATGAATTAAAACGATGGCACGGGTGGCAAACCACATCGTTTTTTTTAGTTTTGATTCGTTGCGAAAATTGAATTCAATCGTTCAAGAATAACTGATACCCAATGATAATAAACACATTGGGTACAAGTTTCGCTCATGGACGACGTCAATCTTTTTTTTGCAAATACGAAGAATATTTCGAAAATGACACAATGAGGTCGAGTTGCAATATTTGATCGACTTGTGGCGGTGGTTCATATTTTTTATCATGGAGTGCGAGAGTGATTTGGTTACTGTCAGAAGTATGATTTGGATAATACTTGTGCAAGTAGAATATTTTATAAACGTGAGTACTTGCAGGTTCATAATGTTCTACTATTAGTGTAAAAAATGTTTTTTTAGGCAGATGCAGTGCGTATGACTTATGTAATGGGCTTACTATAATATGTACATGTTCGATGTTCATGAAAAAGCACGGGACACGGTTCGTGCGTAATTAAGACGTAACTTTAGTCGAAGAATTCTAACAAAGTATTTGAAAACTGACTGAATTAAAAGTTAGAATTCAGACGCTGAGGACCAGCAGCGAGACAAAGAGTGGTCGGCAGTGGTACTCGTGGCGTCGCTTTGCTACAGAGATAACTTTCTCTGAGTGTAGAGTGCTCTAGCATCGCTTCAAGCGTTCTTCGTCTTCGTCCATGCAGACATCGCAGTCTTTCGCGATGTTGCTTCTTGAAGACATGTCCTGTTCGCATCTCATATAAACTGCTATTTACAAATTCATACCATCTCATATGAACTCTGTGTCACTGTTATTTACAAATTCATAAAAATTCACCCTGGTCTTAATAAGACGGACTAGTACATATACACCAGAATATGCATGTGTGTACTGAACGCCATGCTTATGTTTATCTGGCTGTTGTTGTAACTTGATCAGGTCGAGATCTCGTCGAGCTGATCTATGTAGGTCGGTTCTATATGAATCTGTCATCAAAAGGGGTAGACTGAACATAACTTTTGTCACATTATTGTCATTTCGTTATACACATTCATGTCTGGCACACCATAATGATTATTGTTTTCGTGCTGTGCTTGGTTTTGCCAACTGTCGTTGTCATTTTGCGTGCTGCAGAATACAAAAGGGCAGTCAGCAAAAGAACTGGTTTCGTTTCTTCAGCACAGGAAAGTTCATACAATATTGTTTTGTTTGAGAATTGTGCTGATTCAAATCAAATGGTCGACTCTACTATTTTGTTGATAAGATAACTTTTGACCCAGCCAAACCATAACAAGACTAGAAACTATAGTATGAAATACGTGTCGTTGCAAAGTCACTTATTCTATTGTTGAATTCTGACCGACACGACGAAATTATTCTATTATGCATAACACCACGAGTGTAAACATAAAATGAATCAGAAGCCAGATGTATGATTTATGTCTCAGCTTGTATGAACGGGCAATAATAATTTGCATTTTGCCACATAATACATAATGTGTAAGTTCAGCTCTTAAAAACAAACTTCTCATGTACTGTAATTAAAAACGCCAATGATGGCTTCTGAACTTACAAGATCTGAGAAATAAATAATATGACAAAATTATTTCAACTTTGTGCCAACATTGAATTTAAATGTGCATATTTTTTGTTGGTTTACATACATTTTAAAGTGCATAATATCCACACTTTCTTGTACTTCTTGATTGGTTTGATTTGTGTGTTAAATTACTTTTGATGAATTTAGTCTACTTTTTAGACATCTAAGCTCTATCTGCATTTATAATGGAATTCTGTCTGTGCTCGTGTGTTTGTGTTCATCTGGTCATTGGATTTTTACGAGTGATGCGATTTCATGTACGTATATGCTCAACCACTGAATCTGGTTCTTTCTTGTGCAAGTGTTTAAGCTTTAAAAACAGATTGGAGAGTCAACTTAATAAAATAAAAGTTAATGTCATCTTCATGTTCTACGCAATTTTTATGTCGCTACTCCTTGACTAGTTACGATCAGATAAGGCTAATGTTGCACTTTACTTTGCCATGTACTGCGCTGAAATTGAGGCATGATTATTTCACAGTTGTAAATCCCCAATGATCCTCGTTCCAACTTGCAGTTTTCTGCGTGAAGTTCATATTCTTTATAGAACATCTCATAGTTTAAGGAAAAAATATTTTATTTACGCGTCTTAAATATTTTATAGTCCTAACCCTCAAACCACTTTTCATTAGGCTGTCCCATCTTTCCCCAGAGAGTATCTGCAAAATGTGGAACTCTATTCATGAGATAGTTCAAAATTATTAGGCTCACAGGACAGGACCACTGGCCATATAAATTTGAACTCTTTTCTTGTTTTGATAATCCCGAATGTCTTTACCATGCAGCACAATGAAGGATGATGTTTCACATTTTGCTGTCTGCTCTGCAATAAAATGTTAATGTTGTCTCAGTTTAATCTTGTTGGGTCAGAGGATGAATGTGAAATATGTTCTTTCACCTTTGTCAGCTTGTACTCCTCGCATACGACGCTGTGGAAGCAATTCGGTCATGTTCCACACCAGAACACACTGATGTTTTCCTTCCAACACAAATTACCTTCATCTGTCATCCTCGAATGAAATGGAACGAGATGAAATGTGAGAAATCATGATGCACCCAATCCATCTGCATAATGTGGAAGGCAGTTGGTTCAACTATGAGCCAAGTAAATGCATCCTCCTGATAACTCAGCTGGAGTTAAAGGTTGCATCTGTTTTCTTTGCATCATTCGTATGTATGGACATATGTAGAATCCATAGGATGTAAAGTGCTCCATGAAACTGCAGCCCTTGAAAGAATTGAATGAACCCTTAGAGATTAGGATGAGACGAATGAGATTCAGTGGTCGGATAATCAATAGCAATTTCGTGCTCAGGGGAAAATGAGTTAGGTCGAATAGAAATGTGGTTGTTCAGAAAATGAGAAAATACAGCAAATCTCTAATCATTATGCACACATGCATTCATTTTAGCAACTTATCCAGAACTTACTAATGAAAGTTCTCGGGCTGAGTTTTTATCGCGTTTTGTGTGATACTTAAAAACTACATTTTCAAACTACGTTTTGAATAAACCGAGATTATTACATTGAAATTTTAAAACCCATTCTAATGAAAGTACTTATAACGTAAGTAGAAGAGAAGGTTCCCACCAAAACTTTGAGGCATTATTCTCATTGCCTCATTCACTCCAATTTATTGCTATAATTTGCAATGCAATTTGCAAACTTGATGGTGTAATACTGATGTTGAGTCAGAACACAATGGTGGTTGTTATAAATAGGATCGGCTATGTTGTTCCTCCTAAATCTCATAAACGCATTTCGTAGTTAAGCGAGTATTCTAAGAATCTGAGAAATGCTCTCCTTTGCACTTTCTGCTACCATTCATCGCTGTATTCCTTTACGTAATAGGGAACTTCCCTCCACACATTTCGCCTCTAAGTTGTCCAACTCCAGAGTAAGTACGTAAATCTGAGGCTTAAACAAAGGATCAGTTAAAACTAGAGCTGTTAAGGGAGGGAGGGATGTCGGGGTGCGGGTGACAGGGGTTCGAAACAACCGGAGGCATTTGCTTTATTTCGGATACAACTTGGCGCTCCTGATGAAATAAAGGTTGCGAAGAGCAGACGTAATTATAAGGCTCGTGTTTTTGCAAAGTATTACGCTTGAAAGAGATTGAATGACTGTATGGTTAAACAGCTTCATTCATTACAGCACACATTGTTTCGCTTTCATCATAACATCCAAATGGTGCAATGGGTCTAGAAAAATGCATACATCGCCCAAAGTGTCCCTGCACTACAGACGTCTTATGGTTTGCGACCAAAACTCTGCATTTTCGATTCCCCTTCTTCCCCAAAACGAACTAGTCTTGTTTGTGGTGCATTTCAGCTCGAACGTAAACCATGCGTGGCGAGTAAGTAAGTAAGCAAGCAAAATGTTGGGCATCTCACGTAAAGCCCTGGCTTAAATAAGAAATAAGCAAAAGTTCGACGAGAGAGAGAATGCGAAGAAGGGGATCTCGTCGTCGTCGTGGTCGCAGATACACATCCACCTTCCCCTCTCGCTCTGAGTCAGTTGGAGTTTCGAGTTTCCACAGAGAACATCTTTGTCTCACTCTCGGCCACACGAGTAAACCACGCTTTGCATTACAAAAAATCGAAACCGACTTCACACCAAGAACACATTTCCCACCAATCCACAACACCGGTCGTTCTTTACTCACCCACTGCACTGACCCTGCAACATAACAAAATTGTGCATTACGGGAAGACGCCGGTCTTGTGAAGGGCAATGCATGTGGTTCAGTGTTTCTAAAATATTTTCTAAAAGCAACACTTAACAGCGATACGTACGAACTGATACCACAAATTGAGACCTAGCTGAAAATTAAGAGAGCCACAACAATTGTAATTGTCGCATTGTGATTGCTCTTGTTGAATGAATAAACATTGGGTCGTGTTGTTATATAACAAATATTTATTGCATCAACATACGCCATTATCCAAATAATACACATTGATGATTGTTAATTTCGTGTAGCTACAAGGACAATGCAATCATTGAAGTATTACTGACTGAGTTTGAGCGGAATTAAGGCGAAACGAAAGGGAAAGGGAGTCAGATAAACACAGTGAGTCATCACACAGCGCGACGTGTTGCATTTTATTGTACCATTGGTTTACGATACCTGGCTTAAAGTAACCCCAAAGTACGTACGTACAAGCCCAGGACACGTAAAAGAGTGAGGGAGGGAGGAAACAGGAAATGAAGTTTTAAGGGATAATTGTGAGAACATTAGTGTCACCCATTGTTTGCATTTCGCTGTAATGCGATACACCTGTCCTCACTTTGTTTCAGCCTCGTGAAGTGTAATTTACTCTAATCCCCGGTTCACGGTTTAATAAAAGTGACTGCTTATTTGACGATATATCATATCTGCCCATTATATCTGCACGCGTATTGGACCAACGCATGCGACCGAAATGTAAGAATTTCTTGTATTAATCAGAATTAGTTTCATCTGCTAAACGTCTTCTCCGAGACAAGTAAATACTATCCAAATCCAACAATATTGATATTTGAGAAACTAAACTACTCTCGAGATTAGCATTTAGCGCATCGTAGATTAAAATCCTTGAACTTTGGACAACACAATGAACGAAATGTTGGACAGATAAAAAATGCATTCGTCATCTTTTTTATTTCATATACACCCATTAATCACCCATTAATCATAACATCACATTACAATATTGAGAGTTATTCTCCATCGTATAACCGTGTATTTACATGGTGAATTTCCCTTTCTTCTACACTTGACGTTTGAAAAGTGCAAGACTGAGGTTCTCCGGTTTATCATTAGCGTGAAAATCTCTAGCCTCACAATTTGTCCATGAGTCCAGTAAAGTATCTAATTTCCAATTTATCTTTGGTTAGCCATAAACAGTAATACGAAGTATGTACCAGGCATCCACAGCCCAGAGCAACTCCGCGTCAGATCTCGTGGATGATGAAACGAAAATAAGCGAATTTCAGATGAGAGAATTGCAATGCAAATTAATTTCAAATCCGACTTTGAAGTTTGATGGCTACAAACAACTTGAAAGAATTCACGGGCACGTGGACGCATACGAAACACAGTAATTTGACGAGATGAGGTATTGACATATCGATTTCCAGGTTTTGAATGCACGTCAATGGGAATGGTGTTGTAACTCGGGCGTCTGCACAAATACTAATGCAAGTAATTCGTCACTTGGGTTTGTTTGTAACAATCTGACACCACCTCGATTCATTTCAATAATTTCAGCGACGATAAGGAAGACGAGGGTGAACGAGAGCGTATTAAACTCATTCACTGAAAATTGAAAAATTAACCTCGGCCCTCAAAGACAGAAACCATAAAAGAATCGTGATTTTTAAGAGACAGAGCCAAAAAGATCATTTGTATGGGAGTCACGTTTGTTCTTACACGTAAGATTCTGCACAAGCCTTGTTCTCCTCCTCGTCGGCACTTTCTTCTCGGGTGGAGAAATAAATTTTGGTTTTATGTGCCTTCCCATTTTACGGGATTAAGTGTTCGCTGTCCAAAAAAAACATAACTTTGTGAAAATATGGGTTAATGGCTGCTATGAAGATGACACCAAGAAAGAGAGATTAATACGCAAAGGAGCAGCTCAGCCAGATCGTTAACGTTGTACTTAATTTCCCTGAAGGGGAAAGAATTTTTATATAATTTCGACATTAAAATTACACCATTTTACGACATGCATGAAAACGTCGGATTTTGACAGCGGGGTTCATTAATTTTCTAAATCTGTCAACTTTCCCTCTAATTACTGAAATGCAAGCAAATTTTAATTTGCACGCAAATTGAAATGATCATCGTCTTGCTGAGCTGCTCTACATTCCCATTTTATTTAGATTCCCATATTGTCACCCAAATGTGCCATCTTGACGAAAATAACCTTTCTCATTCATGTGTCCTACATTTTTTTTACCAGTATCATTGTCTTCTGTATAGAGTTAAACCCATAGCCGTGAACTAAAAGTAGTGTGAACTATAGCAGATTTTGAAGATTGTCCGTTTATTCATTCCTGTAACACAGAGTCACCCATTTCATGCTTGCATTTTGTCTCACAATCTGCATCAATATGAGTTCTACCACTTTCTCACATATTTACATTACAATATTGGCTGAATATGCATAATCTATGCAGCAGTATATGCAAGCTCAATTATCTTGTTTACTTAAACAAAACAAACGTCAGATAAGCCTTACTACGATTTAATCACGATAAGAATCAATAATTGCCAAGTTTGTTCACGCGAGAGTGTAAAAGCTAGTAAATGATTTGCAGTTTACATTTCGAATACTGAACAAATAATCAAGATGTTCATCTATTTATTTAAACGGATTATGTCATAAACTTTTTTTACCATAAAGTTCAAGAGAATGAGACGTTAAACAAAATTCTAAAGGGCAGAATGGTGTTCAATTTGTTCAATCTGTAGACTAAATTATACTTGCAGAGCACACGACCATCATAAATACATCATTGATATCCAGTACGCGATAAGTTTATAATTTGGTCCGGCGCTCCTCGGAACAAACAATAATAAATTAATGCCCAACTGATAAACTGATATGCACAAATAGACGCAATATCTCTTACGTATTTATTTACCATATTTGTAAGTATCAGGTAGTAACAGTGGTCTGGTGACCTATTGTTCTTTATGGAATTTGCTACCACTAATCCTAAACACAGTGTGCAATCTCTACAATCAGCTTTAATCATGCTGGGTATCCATTAATAGGATTGTCATACTCAATTTATAATAGAAAGTTACAAGGTAGACACATGTTCTTTGCATACTAAATAAGAAGGAAACTTACTATTCTGAATGTAATTCATACATAGTTCTTAAATGGCAGTAGTGCCATAAGAGAGCTAATCTGAAAGCAAACGCAAAATTTCAAAAGTGAAACTAATTTGAATTTTGTAATTAATTTATTTCTACCACCATTTTATCCAGTTATGTATACCGCATGCATAATACCGTATTCCGTTCCTGGTGAGTGGGCTAATTTAATTTGAGTGTTGGGTCACGAACTAGCCAAAACAGCGTAACAAATGTATTTGTAGATATATACATACAGATACCGTTGTGGTTTTCAATCTTACGTTATTAAAGGGACCAACTTACTCTCGCCAACCATTCGTTGAGATTGAGATTGAAAAGAACCGAAACTCAATTAATTACGTCAATCTTCCATTCAAAAGAACAAACTTTTCTCTCTTCCCCGAAAACTAATTGCAACGTATCTCACAATAAAATAGAAAAGGATGAAATCCACGCCTTGAGACGAGTGGGAAATATTTTGTTCGAGTGAGTAAATGAAATACTTGCTTCTTTTTGGACCATTTTTGATCCTGAAAGGAGCTTCGGAACAAAGCCTACGGAATTTGGGAAGCTGCCAGTTGGGTGCTGTTGAAGTAAACTACGAAACCAAGAGAATCGAACCAATTTATTAGTTTTCCTCAAACAAAGTGCAAACAAAAGAAGAAATTAAATGCAATATCAATGCAAACTGGTGGGTGCCAAAGAGAATAATAGATGATGGATATATGCACATGGAAAAATACGTAAACTATTTACGTCATTATTTACTTTTCTGCCGCACAATATGTTGGAACTGTTCTATTTTTACATGTTGTTGCACAGATAATTTGATTTACAAATTCGACGACTTTTCCGTCCATGGCTGCAGTGAAGGTGATATAAATGATTCATATTTAATGACTTTTGACCTACTACTGAACTTTGCACTTTATTTGGCAAATTGCTTTCTCTTGTTCAGGAGAAAGTAGGAAAGAACGACAGACTGTCTTTCTTCCCAACTCCGGTGAGTATCCATTATTTAATAATTCAACACCAGAGTCATGTGCTTTGTGCGAAATAAAACCGCATCAAAAGTCTCGGATACTCGGCATCCTTGTGCTGCCGATCCCTACGGGAAACAGTACGTGAAACACATGCTTGCACCGTTATTCTACCAATTAAGTATTCTATTAATGTAGGGTAGCACAAAGCAATAAACGGTCAGATGCGAAATCCCGCAAATACTACTTTATTTTGATACTACATAGTATGCTGTACATACTATTTATGATCTGCAATTTATCGGAATTAAATTAAATAAACATCGATAATGAAGATTCGGCGAAAGATTAGCAACATTTAGCAGTAAAACTCAACAACGAAACACCAAATGATACTCCTCTTCGATTGTGCAGGCGATGGAACTGGAATTTACAATTCAGTTGTGACCTTCCCCTGAGTTTAAAGTTATCTAAGTAGACCATTTCTCTTCGATGATGCTGTATTGCAAGGCGTTACCGTTTTTGCAAATACACCGTAAAATAGTTGTACAGACAATATTTACAAATTTGCTGCAAGGCAGCCAAAATTTGTGACCTTTTCCACCCCAGCAAAGTAAATTAGCCAAAACCAAACCACGACCACAAAGGCAGGGTAGCACTCACTCTTCTGCAATAAATCATCCAGCCTCGCATCCTACATACTTAAAAGTAGAATGGGTAATATAGTGCTTAAATTGTGTGAACAATAAATTTGCATCTGTCCTAATTTAAATTTTCATAAAGTTTAGCCCATGTATTTGGTGTGCATACATTTTGCATAACAAATAACAGGACGCTAACGGAAGTTAATATGTACTTACTCAATATGTAGAATGAGATTTTTGGTGTTATATATTTAAGTATGTGTGTAAATGCGAGTTGGGATACTCGTCTGGACTCCATGAATCGTTATTGTTGGATTTGGAAATTTACTTTAGCCGACGGACGAACTTAGGGAGCAGAGTGTGAAAGAGTTAATGGTCAAAATCTAAATTAAAATAAACATGCAAAATTCTTTCAGCCTTCGCAACTCATCGTCGTAAAAATTGGGGAATGTGCCAAAGCCAAACTCATCAGTTCAGTGTCAGCAGCCATAATCAAGAGGAAGTTGCATGTAATTACACGGCTTCATCTCCCCTTGCGTGGTGTTACTTGCTTGCTAATTGCGAAAAATTTATGGAACCCATCATCATTCGCAAGTTGAAGTGATTTCGACCAATTTTCGCCAACATCATCTATAAGGAACCAATTATACCGGATTGCGTACATCATCATCGCGTGAATGGAGTTGCTTCAGTCATCGCATGCCGTGAGGTTGGATGGGATCTTCAAGTGCAAAACAAATATTTGATCACCCAGAAAGAACCTCAACCAGCTCTACAATTTTATAGTTTTCTAGACACGACCAGATGAAATATTGGCAGTTGTTGTCAGTCAAGCAGAGCATGATATTGAAAATTACAACCCTGCAATTCAAGCACGAACTCGCGTTAATTTGAATTTTCTGACAAATTATCCTACATCAATTTGATTATTTATTGATTTCAACCACTTAAAATTATCATTAGCTGCATATGTTGTGCTAGTGGAGTGTACAAATACCAAGTGTACAGGATCTTAAATTGTCCCCTAAGTTAACAAATCATAAGAACTAAAACCATAAACTTGGAACGGGTCATCAACAAGTAAAACCATTTGCAAGACTGGCAAAAATGAGATAAACCAGTGAAACCACTTAAAGTTCACATTAGAACCATTTACTAGTTTAAATAAGTTAAGTGCTGTTTTGCGAAATCTGAAAAATTGACACATTTTAAATATATTTGTGTTTTTAAGTAAAGCAACTTCTTGTGCAAAAATCTGAACTTGTCTGGAAACGACGTAGCACATTCCCTGTTTTTCACTGTGTTTGACCCAAATTCTAATTTTACATGTGAACTTAGACTTACTTGTTAGATTATTGTGCCAATCCTCACTGCCGAAAAGCTCAAAAGCATCTGTGTTCACGTAACTCAAGATTAGCTCGTGCGTGGACTATTCTCCATAAAACATTACCAGTTGAGTGAGGGTACGGCCGAATTAAGTAAATTATTTCACACGCATCTCCATCTGCTTCACTTGCAATTTTGATCAAGATTTGTCTGACACTTCATTAAACATCTCTCTCTCTCGCTTTTGTTGAGTGGAAGCAAACAGCTACACGCTGCTTTAAGTTTGTTCTTCATACAAAATCACTCCACAACTCTGTATAAATCTTACATGAGCAAATTGTGAGCAGTGTGTCTGACTCGACGTCTTGAAATCTCGAAGAACTCGCTTCCTGTAGTAAAATAAACCATACTGAACAAGAAAAAGTATAACTTTCCACACGTATGACACCACCATCACCTCTCTGAAATGAAATAATAATCATCTGTACGTCCAGGTCTTTCTACATCTCGAAAGAATTGGCAACTTTTTTTGCAAAGCGAAAAATTCCAGACGCGAACAAGGCTTCCACGAAGCAGATTCCATCTTAGCTAGCTAAAAGCGATTCATCTCAATTCTTAAATGTCAAAGGGGAGGAAATAACTCAAACCACAGCAGCACCAGCAGCATTACAAAAATCCCAATTTGCAATTCTGACAAGTCGAAGTTGTTACTCCACCAGGCCATTTTTCCTTCAAAAGTGGGACTCGGTAAGAAAACATACTGGAATTCTGGGAAAATGTGACACATCTGTGCGACATCGCCATACATACCCCAATATGTATTTCCATGATTAAAACCATATTTCAAAACGGATGGATCGAACTGGTGTATGCATGCCAAAAAAGAAATGAATTTAGAGGAACTAGAAGAAACAATACCAAAACTTATGTAACGACGACCAAACCAAAAATTGTGTTTGCGAAGGACACATAACTTTTGGCTTTACTCCGAATGCTAGACTTCCATTACAATAAAACCAGCATAATTTCTATCTCGACTTACTCGGAACAACACCGGTTTCCTTTTAAAAGTTTTTGCTTGAAACCAGTATTTAAATTACAAGTTGAGCTAATGGGAAAACAAAGTCCGTTAAATCTCAAGTAAGCACAGACAACAGATCTGCATTGCGTTTGAACTGGTGCCCATCACATTCGCCATAAAAGAACTCTAACCTCATTTTAAGACGTGTCGTTCTTCCTTGCTGACTGCAGGGCCGATTTGTGAGTGAACATTTATTCGACATTTAACAATGCAGCTTTGTGCGTGGGGCATTGTATCGGCCAGGCTACTGCTTGCTCCACTTTTTGCATCGTGTTGAATTACATAAAATAGCATCATAAAAGGATCGCCGGGGTGTGTGAACGTGAACAATCCCTCAAATTGTAAACTTGAAGCAAATAAGGAGAGTAAGCTGGGATTCGAAAAAGTGCGTCTCAAGTTCACGTATTTATCATCCTCCCCAATAAATAATGTGAACAGTGTGGCCCAGAAAGACTTCCTCGAGTAAAATAAGGATGCTCTACGAGAACCACCCATCATAATCTCATTCTTTATAAGGAAGGAATCACAAAGCTTCTTCAAAAAATATTTTAAAATCGACCTGTGCTGGGGTCGTAACTCTTTCAAAGAATTTTATCCAAAAATAAATCTTCCAAAGGAGAGTAGAAGCAGATCTTACCGAACTCACCGATCTACAAGTACAAACTGGAAAGCAAGTCGTGGTAACACTAACAGATCATAAAGAGAGAGGATTCAGTCTTCTTCGTCGTCTTCCAACTCAACTAAACCAAAGAATAACAAGAATTCTCTTATGGAATAACAAATAATACTCCCGGTTTGCTGTCGTCGTCATCGTCGTATGGACACCACCACTACTGCACATACATAGTTTTAAAGAAATATTTATTCCAGTGCCCAGCGTGATCTCAGTTTTTTTCCTTCCTCGGCACAATTCTATTTTAAACAAAACTTCTTCCTGTGATAATACGCGTGCAGACAGAAATTGAACATTTATCGGAGAGAATTTACTCAACTTGAGAATATGAAATTGGATCCATCGTGAAACACTGAAAAAAATTACACGTGTTCAATTCACCCAAACTAAGCAAACGATTTTCCGAACTTTGCCCTAAAATAAGACGGCGATAGAAATTGAGTTTCGATTGGTCGTATGAAACGAAGCCAGAGAAAATTTGCAGTGCGGGAACATTATAATACAGAGATCAAGCGGTGTGAATACAAAGTTGAATAAATTGAGATCTCAATCTACTCAATTTCTCATTCCAAATTATTTCTGAAGCAACAAAGACGACTCGCCCTCTCAAAAGTACAGAGTCTTCCGAACGGTTGTGTATCACCCCTGTTTTTCGCACCAATAAGTAATGAAAATAGAACAAGTTTTCCAATTAAAAGTGAAAACAACAAGTTGGCAACTCACCCCTCTGCCTGCACCATAATCTGATGTCTCATCATCAACATAAAATAATCCTTAATTAAGTAATAGAAGAAAGTACGCTATTCACTACTTAATTTAATCCTCGAGGAAGCAGGAATAATTATCTGACTATGATGGAACCTCTGCCCGCTTTGGACGATCTGGAAATTCAAGAGAAAGTCGAGTCCCTTGTCGGAAAAGGGACAAGAGTTTTGGATTGTGAGAAAAACCAGTCCTTTCAGACAGAGGAAGTTTTGCTGGTTAATGGGTTCCCAGTGCCCCTGGTGGGAGAACAAGGCCAAATTATAAAGGCCGCCCTCCTCTCAGGTCAAGTGCCCCCGGGGGACTTGCTGAATGAAATCTTAATTAAGGCTGGGATCCTGAAAAACCCTGTAGAGCTGGAGGCAACTTGCAACGTTAAAACCACGACAAAGACGACGGAGGTGATGACCTTGCGAGACAAGAACGGGATTCTGCTAGATGAGCGGATGAAGGAGGTCGAGGAGGATAACCAGTACCAGAGCACGAGCAAAGAGGTTTGGCGGAAGGATTTGCAAGGGCTGGGAGAATCTCTGGGGAAGTTGGCCTTCAACTCTAGCTCCATTTCCAGCAGTGTTAATGGGAGTGTGGCAGGGTCACCGGTGAAGCATTTGAACAATGGGAGCAGTGTGGGTGGAGCCTGCGGTGGTGGGTCAACCTTGGGCTCCATGGGGTTTGGAACTTCCTCATTCTTCAGAGCTAGTTCTCCAGCAAATTTGAGCACTAGATCCTCCAATGTTGCACCACCCCCACCGCTGGTGACGGCTGGCAACATTGGTCACCAGCACTCCCCACAGTCATCCTCTTCCTCTTCTATTGGAATTTCGGAAGGGTCCTCTTCACGTTCAGAGTCATCTGCCTCATCGCTCTCCAGATTTAGTGTGAGTTCATATTTCCTAAAGTTTTTGACCCATGTCTGTACACGCACCAAGTAGAGCGTAAACATGTATTCTTGAGAAAATAGCTGATTGTATTAAGATTGATAAGGGGGAAAAGATGGAGTGGATTTTGATTAACCGGTGTAATACTGTGGATTGGAGGATTGTTTCAGTAGGAGGGAGCAGTGCTCTGAGGTGTTGGGAAAGTTTTTTCGATAATTGTAATGGGAAAGTGACATTTATTGTTCCTCCACAAAAAATATGTTGTGAAATAAATAACTTTCTTCATAACGAAGCACAATAAGTTTGTGGTTTGGACAAAATTTCCTTTCTTTTTTGGCCTTCACTCACTTTCCTCGATGCAATATGTTATCCAGGAAGACGTTTTTTAAGGAGGGCTGGTTGGTGACACTTTGACAAATTGATTGCATTCGATCCACTTCACGTCTTCCTTGTTTTTGCATGGTTTTTTCCACAGACAGAGGTATGTGTAAGCCTCAGGATCAGGCGACACTGAACTTGAATTGAGATTTGTGTATCGATCTCAGAGTTTGGAACAAAAAATACTGAGCGTTCAGAAACAACCCGACTCCAATCCAACGCCAGAAACTTTTTAATGAATGAAATTACGGCATCTGCCTCAAATTAGTTTCATGCTGATCACTTACTTATTTTACCTCAAACTCGTAATGCTAATGACGAATATCCCAAATCGCTATGTGTATGAATCGATACTAACGAAGAGAATTTTAGCCAGTTTGTAAAGTTTAATTTTATGATGGTATATTCTGTAATACGAAATTGAGGAAACCTAAGTTATGAAATAAATACGATATGTTTGATGGCGGCAGAAATCAACCAGGATTTTCATACTGCAGCAGTAAAATGTATGTGGCTAGTAAGTGAACTGTAATTTTCTTTCATCTTCATCTACAAAATTACACGTTGCAAATATAAGAACATGATATTTTGTTATTTCCTTTTTGTTGGTTGGGTCAGAAGTTATTGGGTTTCGTGGTCAAAGATCGTGAGGAATGTATGATACCTTCATGTTTTTCTTGTTTATTATACGTATGACGACTCAACAACCGGAAATTAATCACGATTTTTCTCTAACCATATGATATCGATGAAGTTGTACATATGGCGAAATGAGAGAGCGAAATGCTAAGTTCAGTGGCTGAGGAATATTTAATACAAGATGCCCTGATGATAGTTCATCATTTTCCTTATAATTTACTCAAAAACCTCTACTTGGACCGTTTCTCATAATTTTTGTTTTTGTCAAGATTTCGCCTCTCTTTCCCTAATAACGTAGGACTAATTTGTAATTTACTTATTTATTGATTCCTGCTCGCCATATGTGCGACACGATTTATGGATAATGGAATACAAGTTTTGAAAGTGAAACCACCTCCACCTTCTGTTAAGACACTCGCACGCACATTCTGCTCACTCGCTATGAAATGAACGGTCATAAATTTTGTTCGTTTTCAGCCAAGTTGTTTTTGTTACATCATGCACGCACATTACAAATTCGAAAGGGTTCTCAAAATATCAGAGTCGTTTGCGTAATTAAATTAACAGGTATTTGTAAATATGTACTTGTGAAGAAACATTACAGTTTTGCCAATCTTGCAACATTATTGTTAGCTTTACTAAATCAATACTGTGAAATACAAGTAAAATTTCCTGTAAATATTTCTACAAGAAATGCTATGGATAAGCTAAAAGCGAGCAGAAATTGTCATAATTTTGATAACGGATCATTGTATTCATTTAAAATTTTGTCTTTCTAAAAATACGTTTAGATTTTACTAATTTGTCACATTCGCATATGATACGCTTCCGAGCGTGGAAGTGGGTGACTACCAGCTATTAATTTGATTTCGCATGTGGCATGTTTTTAGAGGCTTTTTGATTTTATGGCAAGTTCAAGTTAGGTTCATCCTCATTTCATTTCAATAAAAGGATTCTCACAATTTTTTGGGTTCACGAGTAGCATAAGAAGTTCAAGAAAAACACCAATTGCACAAGATCTGGGAGGGTGTGTATAATGACGTGTGAATAGCGTGAACATATTACTCGTTTGAGCTCAGGATTCATTTTGTACTTCTTTGGGGTTGGATTCAAATCCATCCTTGAGAGAAAAAAAACTTGGGTCGTTCCGTTCCGAACTTGAGTACTTGTTGTGTAACTTGCATACTACACACGATGTCTACTTTCTTCACCAACTCCCATTTATTTGATTTCGTAAGCAAACACTTTTTTGTGCTGGAAGAGTTTAATGGATGTGATCTTTTGGGATGTTATGCCAAGTTGGTTAATCTAATGGAATGAAGGCATGCAGTGCTTTTTCCTTGTTTGTAAATAAATTATGGGTGGTAAACTTTGGGTGCATGAAATTGAAACATTAGCATCGTCTTCATACCCTGAGTTTTACACTGCTTGACGAGAAAATCAGAGTAAAGAGTGGGTTACAGTTATCAAGGGTTATGCATTTTTTGATAATTTACTTTTTGTATTATTATCGCAATTAGTATCAAGATTACAGCAGCCAATAAGATATTCTAAAAGCCTCAATTTATATTTTACCTTCTCAAACAACTCTGCAGCATCGTTATATGAATTACGGGTTCAATTGGACAGAAAATCTACGAAGAACTGATAAAGGCTAATAAGCTTAGGAAAGTTTGCGTAAATACGCAGTGTAACAAATGTTTGAAAGGAAATGCTATTGATCTGATATCCTGAGGAAGTTGTTTGGGATATGCGCAAATATAAAGATGGAGAGAAAACAAGAGAAAGTGTCACTGCTTGTCGAGGACGTTGAAATCTGAGTTTACACGGGAAAAAGCTTTTAGTTGAATAAGCAATAAATTCGTGATGAGAAGACTTATTTGAACAGAATGGAACATCCATATCAACACTGATGCACTTTCCCCTCGCTCAAAAGATTACTACAGACTAAAGTTTCATTTAAATTTTAAATGGTACACTTGTAATTGGTACGTTTTCTGCTACTCCTACATATTTACATGTGTATGTACATCCGTGCACGTTTGCCATAATTGTCCCAACGCACTTGTACACTCGAATACTCAACAAGACATCATCATCTCAACTGAAATCTATTCATGCGAAGGAGACAGACATCCAGGAGACAATTTTGTAGACGGTGCAATAACAACACTGTCGCACTGTCGGCGTCGCTACTGCCAGCGAAGTTTCCCTTTCAATCCATTTCATCCTTCAAGTTGTCATTTGTTGTTATACGCACTAAAATAAAACAAAATAACTCATCTTCATCCACTCCCACTTCCACTTGTTATCTACGCACCAAAATGTCCCAAGTCACGCGACCAAAACATAAACATTACGAAGGGCGATAATGGTATCGCATAACGTCGTCCGATGTGAACGGCAGAGGGAAAAGAAAGTATCAAAGGGTTACAATAGCAGTGCAGACGGAGAGGAGTGAAAGTGAATTTCTGTAAGAGGTTTTCTTCCTGAGGTTGCTTCGTGGAGTGGGAAATGCAGCTGTTAACTTAACTTTTGCGTCTCATGGGATGTGACATCTTCATCAACATCACTGGAAGGAAATTCATAGAAGGGAACATTATTATTCTTATTTCGAGTCCATCGTACCTAACTTTTTTGGCATCGCCTCATCGAGGAAACAGAGTGAGGCAGCGAAATAGTTGGATGAAAATGGGAGTCTGGAGACTGGACATAAAAATATTCAGCATTTTATGACAACCTGGAAGTAATAATGGACGATGAAATGTGAACTTGCTTCTTTAATATTTGTCTCAAAATGCATACATGCTAAAGAATAATGACAACTGGTGTATTTGTAGCAGAGGAACAAAATCAATGACCAAATTAGAAATTGATTATGATTGCCGTGGCCGTATTTAGCTGGCACAAACTGCTATCGTTAAGGTGTAATTTGTGATAAGATTTTATTACACGCGATTTACCGGTTTATATAGCAGGTGAATATATTAGATTGTTGATTAGCAAGAGTGAGCTGAAAATAAATTGAGAATGTGTCCCCTTGTTGTACTAATGTAAGTAAGAGACCTGTTAGTTGAGGAGTTCAGTAGCCAAGCACATGCAATAATTTTGTATCATTCATCTCACTTATGTAGCATAAAGTGTCATTGCCGTGATGCATGCTAATAATAAAGTGTGTAGAACCTATTTAGGAACTTATACTTGTAATCTGTTAACGGAAGGGTTTGGTCGCTATTTAATTTTTCTAAGGTTTGCATCATTATTTATTTAGCCACGTATGAAAATAACTAAAAGATAAGACTTTGAAATGGCCTCGTGTGGTGGTTCATTTAAAATCGATTAAGCATCAACGCCAAAGTTTGAACTATCATTATCATCATCATCATAACCAGCAGCCATAATTTTCATTTGTCACAATCTGACTTCAAATACGGGTCATCTTCAACTTTCCCCATTCTTCCATTAGTTTGCAGGACGATGAGAATGCCATGATTTATTCGCTTCATTAGATATCTAAATGCATTTCCAATATTTCTTTCAAAGTTGGAAACCTTCAAACTCTTTCAGACAGTCTCCGCTCCCATAAATAATTTTCTTTCATTATTTCACATGACAAAGTTACATTCACTTTCTCAACGGGGGTGGCGGAATGTGAGAAAGGGCAAGTTGACGAAGCACGATTTTTCCTTTCAGAAATTCCCACATAACGATACCATCGCCCATAAGCACTACTGCAGCAGTGTATTAGAAGTATATGCACGATAAAAAGAGTGAAATTTTATCGTTTGGGGACTCTTCAACTCGGTTCTTGAGGCTGCCTGGCCAGTGACTTATTTATGAGGATAAAGTCTCCTAAATCAATTCAATGCGCGTGAGAACATTAAAAGTTGTAATGGAGGGAGTGTCTGTCTGGACGGACGATAACTTGAGGTTGGATAAGTGCAACTTTCACCGAGCCAGAATATGTGAGCTTACTGACCGAC